AGATACTGCAGATACTGCAGATACTGCAGATACTGCAGATACTGCAGATACTGCAGATACTGCAGATACTGCAGATACTGGAGCGCGCCCCCGAGATACCTGGTTACTTGGGGGGGTTGCGGGACCACGTAAGGAGTGGTATCCCTGTACCCATACTTGCGGGTGTGACCGCCGCTACCTGTGTACTTGAGACGAGTTGCAACATACTGCCATATGTGCGTCTCAAACTCCCCATACCAGCATACGTCTAGCTATGCGTCTACGAAGTATCTTTAAGTACCAGCGTATGCCTACCTGGCGCAACAGCAGGATTTACCTGCCTACCCCGAAGATGGAAATAGATACCCCGATACGTTCATACCTCACGCATACCCTACTTCCCCCTGTCCCCTGAGATAATATGCATCTAAGAAGATGCGCCCTACTTGGACTGCGAGTAATGGACATCTCTACCCAAGACCAGTAGATCGTTGGGGTAGAGATAGTGATCTGTGATCTGTAAGGGTCCGCCCGCAGGCGCATTTTGTATACCGAGGCGGTGCCCGGTGCCGAACCTGTCGGACCTTTAGACAGCATTGTAGATCCCTGGGTGATGGAGAGGGCGGTCTGTCGGCGCCAAACCACATCCCACCGAGGTGGGCAGGTTCCACGCGTTCCAACCGTGATCCAGACCGCCCCGTTGGAGGTAGACCGCTCGTCTAGCCAATCAGCCTTAAGCGAGCGGCCTGGCCGTTGGAATGGCCGAGTTTGGTGGACTTGCGTCCTCGCATCGGTCGTGATCACAAGCATGGTTACAATTCAAGATTAAGACTGGCGGATCTCTCACACGGACACGCCCAAGTCTCGCCAGTAGATCCCTCCTGTGTCCGGTTCCCCATTCAAGACTAAGATCGAAGATTGAGATTGTGGATTGCAGATCGCTGAGCAGCAACAACGGGCCAAAATGTGGAGACAGGAGATGGAGAATGCAGATTGTAGATCCTAGCGCCCAGCCATCCGCCCCAGATGTGAGATCGAAGATTGAAAATGGAGGTCGTAGATTGCTGCCGGCGGCGACAGTGGCCAAGTAGAAGATTGCTGATTGGAGATTGGAGATGAGAGATGGTCAGTGTGAATGAATCCAAATTGCATCTCCTTGAAGGTTTGAGCCCCCCTCCTCCCCCGGGCCCCCGAATCGAGATTGGAGATTGGAGATTGGAGATGGAGATCGGAGATCTGACTGAATCTCCGGCCTAAGATGACGACGTTGGAGATTGGAGATTGAAGATGGAGATCGGAGATCTGACTGGATCCGGCCTAAGATGTAGCGACGCTGGAGATTGGAGAGTACCCTGGAGAGATGGAGATCGGAGCCCCCCAGCCCCTAGTGGTGTCTCATCGATTTTTTGTTTTGTTTCTATAAAAAGGGGTTTCTGTGGACGGCCCGGGGGAGCCTGCGGCGCCATTTTAATCTGCGCCCCTCTTTATGGCCTGCGGCGCCTGGCTTGAGCTTGGAAGTGTAAACGAGTCCGCCAGGGCGGTCTGCAAACACGAAGCGCGCTGCGCGGCGCGCGC